TTCTATTCTATTCTATTCTATTCTATTCTATTCTATTCTATTCTATTCTATTCTATTGTGTGATTATTCCTTTTTTGATTCTATCTAAACTTTACTTTTTGGGGCGGAAAAGGTACAGTCTTCAGGAGAAGATCGCATTTTAGTAATGGGAGCAACTAACAGGCCACAGGAACTTGATGATGCTGTGCTCAGGTATATTAAATCATGCATGATTAATTAGCAGTATATAATGTAAATTTATTTTTGGTGCTATTCTTGAACATTGTAATTTGATACACCATGTGTAGTAACATGCTTAGAGTATATTTATTTTGGTAAAAAATGAAAAAAAATATACAGTAAATGTATCATCATCCAAGAATTGCTGAAAATATTTTCTAACTATGTTTTGATATGAATCGATAGCTTATCTTCATTTTGCTATTGAAGGCAGGTTAAATACATTAAAAATGCTATATAAACTTCCATTCACCAAAAAATGAGAGTCTTTCTAGCCAAATCCCATTCTGTTTCAAAGCATCTCAGTTCTCATTTTTTTTTCTTACATGTACATCAATTATGTCAAAATAATTGACCAAATTCTAGTCATCAAAAAAGAGAGGGAAGAATCCCAACTGCCAGGGGAAAATTTAGTTTAGGCCCTACACATTTTGGAATATTTATTGCTTTTTCAAGGGTATTGTAGAAACAGAAACAATACAAAAGACACAATAATGACTTGTAACAGATTGAAAACAATATTTCTAAAAATGGGCAATTCAGTAAAAGTTAATACCAACTTTCATTCTTGATACTTGAGTTCAAGAAACAAATCTAAGGATATTTTCTGTAAATAATTTAACTGCTTATATTTATGATTTGGGGCTATTTTAGACTTTTACTGAATTATTCTAAATATAGACAAGGAGAATTGCCAATTTTATAGAAATAGTTACATATACATTAAAAGTTATTCTGGTATCCTTTTTGGATTGTTTCTGTTTTTATAGCGCACTTGAAAAAGCAACACATTTTCAAAAATGCATTGTGCCTGAATTTAAATTTTATTAATGGCACTTGTGATTCCTCCCTCCCTCCCTTGTTCACATCACCTCTTCTTTCACTGTTAAATTCTAGTCAGTAAAGCCACTCTGAGCCATATTTTTTAAATAAATAGAATTTTAGTAAGATGTCATTTTTATACATTTTAGCAAATTAAATTGGCACATTCGTACAGAATTGGAAACTAAGTCCTACACCACAAAATAAATACATTTAAGGATGTACATTAAGCAGCTGCTCTAATGTTGAGTTGTGGCTCTTCCAGTTCTATTTATTATTTCCTATTTTCTCATCTTTCCCTTTTCTTTTTTTGTTCTCCCTGTAGCAGCCTATGTTCCACTGTAGAACTTTCTCAAGCCCAGTGTATCTTTTTTCCTCATCATCTCATCTACACTTCTAACCACTCAAAGCCAATTGGTCTGATAACAAGTAGTGTGATCTTCAAATTCTATTATTAACTGCTAGTGATAAACATAGGGCCAATTTTAAATTTTAGGGTCAAAAAAACCTTCAATTTTGCTAATTACAATCCTGGCTTGAAGCTTTTATTATATCTTGGATTTTAAGCAGAGCTTCTGTATTAATATCTCTTTTTCAGGCGATTCACCAAACGAGTATATGTATCGTTACCCAGTGAAGAGGTATGTAGATTATGGTGCCGTTTTTAAGAATGTCTCTCATCCAGTTCTTGAATGCAGATTAATGATAATAGCAAAACTGGTTTGTTCATGTTTAATTATAGGATGAATGCTTATTCTATAATAATAAGGGCTACCAGAGTTTTTGTAGTGATACTCTTTTCCTTTTCCTTTCCTTCTTTTTACCCTGTCCTTTGTCAACTGCCATATCTTGGCTCATTTCCGTACTTTCTAAATTTTCTTAGCTTTCTGCCTACTTATAAAGAAGTGACAATTTTAACCTACATTCCATCTGAAGAACAAACTACCATTACATCAGAATTACACTGAAGTACGGATGGAAGTTTAATTGTTACTACATCAATTTTGAGTATGCCTTATTTGTAAAAGGATTGCATAAACAATTCATTCTGCTTCACAGTTTGCTTATTTTTCATATATCTGGAAATCTAAGGTTTCACTTTGCATGTGAAAGAAAACATTAAAGCAACAGTCAACTAAAATTAAATGGTACATTTGCATGACGTGCCAAGCCAAATATGGCGCTCACCACGGGATATCTATTTAAACCCACAGTGTACTAGATGTTACAGCAAATTATGGTCAGCTGTGAGTTGCTCATTATCTTAATTCAGTCTGGGTCCCAGTTAGACTATCATGATTTTTCACATATTTAATGTGTTAAAATATGTGAAAAGCAATGATAGTCTGATTGGGACTGATATTGTATATTGAATAGGGGAATGCTGAGCTCTTGCAATTTGCTCTGTGTTTCTATTAAGCTGTTAGTATTTTGCTAATAGTTGCATAATGGCAAGACATAGAAGCATAAGAATACTTTTACAATTTAGCTTCACTTTTATAGAACACAGTGCAGAAAAAAAAATAGATTTCAAATCTAATCCACTCTACGTTGGCTTTGCAAAGTGAAAATCATTGTACACAATTTTCAAATGTATAGTGCTTTGCTTCATTATTTAAACAGATGTGAGATTGCAAATAGAGAATGTTATATTTTGCAGACACGACTGCTTTTACTAAAAAATCTCTTGAGCAAACAAGGAAATCCATTAACCCAAAAGGAATTGGCACAGTTAGCTAGGTGAGTAAATTCTAACTCTCTGCTGATTCTAGGTGGAGTGTGTGTAGTGCGTAGTGATATTTGCAGCTGTTGCTCATAAGAAGAAATGCTAAATATAACTGGCTCTGAGTAATGTCATAGTCACGCTTCTCTTCCTGACTTTTTATAAAGAAAAGATATCAGCACTTCATCCCTCACTAGTATACTGATATCTTAAATAAGACTACAGTTTAATATCATTAATATTAGAACATTAAATAAAGCCTTTCTGAACTGCAGACCTAATTATTTTATTCAAAACTTACAAACTCTGTTTTACTACTTTGTATTGTACTGTTTATAATAAAGAAAATGTAACATTGTAAACTTCATTAGCTTTCTGTAGAGCATATGAAATTTCTGAAATTGTGTTCTTTTCTAAAGAATGACAGATGGATACTCAGGTAGTGACTTAACAGCATTAGCAAAAGATGCAGCACTGGGCCCTATACGAGGTAAGCATGATTAGCTTTGAGTAAAATGCGTTTGTAAGATGGCTATCTTGCACGTTTGTAAAGTGCTCAGATATGCCTCTTCTATTAAGCTAAGATCCAAAGAAACTGTTTAGTTTGCTCAAGTCCTTGCTATACCTAATGGAATTTTAACAATAATTTACATAATCAGAATTAACTAGCTAACATTGGTTGTACTGTTGTAAATTAGATAGATGCATACATACTGCATATGTATTTACATACATATTTCAGATTTTTATTAGAGTCATAGTCTAGCACAGAAACAGTATATAACAAAATTTGCAACCAATCCATAAGGACAGCCTAAGCAGTAAAACATAATCACACTAAACATTATGAAACTTAATAGTAGAAACAAGATATAATTAATTATACAATGATGTAAAAGCAATAACATGAAAGTGAAGTCTAAAAAGCTGTGGTAACTAGAATGATAAAAATACAGAGTATAAAAAGATAAAGTGCTAGTTTAAGCAAATGTTGTATATCCAGCTTATTAAATCTAAATAGACAGTTGTAATATTTTCTCTTTTTGCTTTATAAAAGATAATATTAGCAATGGGTATCAGGCAATGTAGTAGAATTTGAAAACATTTAAAGAAATACTTTTTTTTTTGCTGTTGCGGGGAGGTTTAAGAATGGGCAAATTCCTTCCTCTTCAACTTGTAAAAACTCCCCAAATCTTTGAAAACCTAATGCTGCAGATTCTGTGGCAAATGCCCAAATTTTGGCAGTTCAGTTTCAGACTGTTTTTGATGGGTTTAAGGAGGCAAATAGAAATGGTTTGTATGCTTGTATTCAGCAATATTTCCCCTTAGTTTCACATAATTTAGTCCCCAGTAAGATTTTGGACAGTTGGCCTTTTCTGCTTCCTTACATCCCTTCGGTGATTGGGAAACTGCATAGTACAGTGTCACTCAAATTGAGCTTGATTCCTGATGACTTCACATCTGTGCAGTTTCGTTGGAAGCACTGCAGTGTTGCCATTGTCTTCTGAGATGTTTCACAGACTTAAAATAAAACTAATGAGAATACTTTTACATCATTTTGAAAAAATCTACTGGTAGAATTAAGCCCCATTGAGATAATTATCTTAGGTAATTATGTACAGGAATGCAGCCTTCTAGAAGCAACTGTTTATTCAAATAGGAAGCTTCAAAGTCTTGAACATTTGGTTTAAACCAGCTTTATTGCCAGAATTCAAAGAGTTGTCTTGCCTTAGATATTAAGGCTTCTGGTAGGATACTTATTGATTCTGAAACTCATTTATTTATTTTTCAGATTTATATATGCTGCCCATCTCACCATACAAGTGACTCTAGGCAGCGTATATAATTATTCATTAATTATGTTTCTTTAATTTACAGAGTTAAAACCAGAGCAGGTGAAGAACATGTCTGCTAGTGAGGTATGTGCTTTGCTAACTTAAACAATTCAGTCATTTTGTATCTTTATTGTTTTCAGAGCACACTGAAAACACAAAGTCATAAGGATTATTTAAACACGCTTGCTATAGGTTCAAAAATATATTTGAGAGCAGAACACAACTTTTAAATGTACTAAATTGTCAGATTGGTCTATATATAATACCTAAAAAGCACAATACTACTAAAAGGCAACCAAGTGTCCTGAAAATATGTCATAGAAATAACTCTAACCCTAATTTTATGTTTAAGAACACAAACAGAGCTAAAAACAACATGCAGCACTTTATAAAGAAGACTAGACATATATACAGCACTGTACACTGAAGTGTAAAAATTCCATTCCATGAGTACAAGATACATTTTTCTATTCCATTCTGCAACTTTTAGTATGCTCTGGAAAGTCTCCTTAGAGACTCTGAGAATTCTAAGTTTTCCCAGCCCAGTGTTGAACTTCTCCCTTTCCTATTATGGTACAGTGCTAGTAGATTCTCTGTAGTCTAAGTTTTCAGAGAAATGAAGAGTACAAAGATTGAAACAGGGAGCAGAGAGATCAGAGTATGCTGTTGCCTTAAATAAACCTTTGTATTTTATTTAAGTCATTTTAGTAGGCTAGTAGTGGGAAAAAATGTGAATGGTCTGAAATGATTTACTGAAATTGATTCACATACTTTAGTGCCATCTAGTGGAATTAACCTGTAATGCTTATACAAGTTGAATTTTGCTCTGCTTTTCAGTGCCAGTAGTCCCATGGTAGTAATTTTTGAAAATGATAGTTTAATAAACACATTTTAAATCCAATTAACATGTGAGGCCAAAAAACAGCTTAATTTTTTTCTTTGCTTTTAGATGAGGAACATTCGGCTGTCAGATTTCAACGAGTCTTTGAAGAAAATAAAATGCAGCCTTAGCCCTCAAACCTTAGAAGCTTACAGTCGCTGGAACAAGGCCTTTGGAGACACTACATTTTGACAGACAGCTTTATCAAAGGAGGGGAGAATGTTGTCAGCAAGGGACAGCTAATTCAAACAAGTGCTGGATGTTTACAAGACATCGCTATCTGCACTAAAAGGCAAGACTGATTTTTAAAAACAGAATAGTTGATGATGAGCTCCTTAAACTTTAATACCAGGATTTACACCCAGCACGCTATGAGAGCACAGTAAAATGGGGAAAAAAATTCTACCAAACGAATGATAGGAAAAAATGTACTTTGTATATTTTTTGTGTTTTATAAAAGTTGCTCATGATATTTACTTTTGTTTTGTTTTTCTTAATCACTAAGCCTTGTTTCTCAGTTTCTTGTGTATCGATAATGTGCCAAATTTTTAAAAAATCCATATGGATAAGGATATTATTTTGAAAGGTCCACAATTCAAAGCGACTACATAGTCTGTTCTTTCTACTTGAGGAGTCCCACAGTCAATATAGTAGTACAACCAATTGGTATAGCAAATGGCTTAAAGTTGTCAATCTTTTCCTGCAGTATTTCTCCAGTGCATTTATAAATATCCATGGTAGGATGGTTGTTTTTGTATCAGTCAAAGAAAGCGTGAAATAGTACTAATTCAAATCAATGGCAGAGTTTCTCTTCAGTGCTTGTTTTGTGTTCATGATGACCAAAAGCCAGGGAATTTTCCATTCTGGTGATTTTCTAATATATGCAAGTGATCATAGCTACAATTACTTGTTTAATTGTATTAGTCTTTTATATCTTCCATGTACTTCAGTTTATAGTTGCACAATTTTTTAAAGTTTTTATTAAATGACTTGTAAATTAATGGGCTTTTAATATTAAAAGAACAGATGTATTTACTTCTCTGTCTAATATGATTGTTGTTTACAAAATGGATAATTTATTCAGTTATATGTTTGTTTGCTATAATGGAAAGAGTATGAAGTAAAAAGACTAATTCGTTTTTTAAAATTTAGTAGTTGTGCAAAAGGATAGAAAAAGTGGGACAAAAGCATACATTTCTGTTAAAATGTTGACATTGCTTTTTGAAGGGTTACGTCTGAACTTAAAGCAGGATTTCATGAATTTTAAGTTTTATTTGACAATACATAGCAGTATTTGCAAATCAACAATAATACTCCTGATCTTAAACTAAGCTCTTCACATTTCTACAGATCCCTTCAGTTGCTATATCGTAGAAGAAACTATGCCATATGTGCAAAGGCAAATCGAAAAACATTTATATATTTTAGCTATTGCTAAACCTTTGTATGATTTGTTAAACCATCACAGCTTTATTTAAAATATAATAAAAGTATATTACATGGCTCTTATAGCTTGACTGAACAGGGCAAATCTTTTAATATCTGAAACTTCATGGTAAATGAATTGTGATTTATCTTTCTTTGAGAATTTGGAAAACTGGCTTTCATACTACTGTGGATACCCTTTAATACCCTTCTCTAAATCTTTTCCTCCAATTTTCTTTGCTTACACATAAAGTGTGTGTGTGGGTATATACGGATGCATGCCTCCAACTTCAGCAAATATTTGTAAGACATGCCTGCTATGGAGTAAATTTGGATACTGTAATCTAATCAAGGACATTGAACATTTTTATGTTTGTCCCTGATGTAGTAAAATCTTGTGGTTGCCTGAACTCTCAATAAGGAATACCAGAATTGTCATTTTAAAACTACAAACATCAGGCTTCAAAAATCTAATAATCAAAACTACTATTTGGCTTTAAGTAAAGGCTGCAGGAATCTGCCTTATTTTAACTTCAAGGGCTAATCATTCCTGAATTAGACTTACAGTCAAGGCATAATTAATTAAAACAAAGATTTTCTCAGGCAAGACTATTTTTATGCTGTTTGAATCAAGTATTACTGAGGTGATTTAGATATATAAAAACAGAATGAAAACTGCCAGGTCAATTGGCTTAATTCCTTTTTAAGCATGTGTTAGAAGTATTTCAGATGCTTACTTGAACAAATTCTACAGATCCTAGTAATCTCCTTTATATCCTTTCTAGTGTATAGTAGCTTTGATTATTCTCTGTATTACAGGTTGTTTCACAAGAATTCAAATGGTTGAATTTTAAGTTTCATGTATTCTTATTCTTAAACTTTTTTTCCTGGGGGAAAACATTTGAAATCTGTTATATGTAAATATTTAGCAAATTTCGAAATATAGTGGGAGACTACATAATGTTTGCTTTTATGCAATAAATATTACTTTAAGACAAAGATAACACCATACCATTTCATTCAAGCCATAATCCAATAATGATTGTAATCATTTCCTTATTTGGGATCTCTTTAATAGAAATTTGTGTGAGAAACATTTAATATTTGTCTCATACCATTCTAATAATTCTGTTGACCACAGTATTTTCTAGTAAAATAGTGTACTAGCCCCCCCTTTTTTTTTAATGGGCTGGCATTAATGAGAACCTGATAAAATCTCCAAATTCATTCCAAGATAGATACAGGATTTATTTGTTCATCAAGTAGTGTAAATTGTTGCCATGTCTCTGTTCAGTTATCAAGCAAACCACGATAATCTACTCCATGGCAGTTGGGTTTTTAATTGATGTTTGTTGTTTACTGTGTCATCTGGGCCCATAAGAAATGCATCTTGGATGTCCAGTGAACAGATTGTAGGCAATTTAAAATTTATCTTTTGAGATTCTTCTGAGAAATGTGTTACACTATTTATAGGAAAAAAAACAGGAAAGTGTTCTGTCTATACATGTAACTTCCTGAATGTTCTAACAGGCATTTGTTACCTTTTCTGTAAAGAATGTTCTTCTCAATTTGTTATCTCATTTAATAAAAACTTGACATGTAAATATGCTTTTAATTTTAAATCAAAGGTGCTACTAAAATTAGGATTCTTCTTGTTGAACAGATTTTCAGCTATGAAGAGACAACTTTGAATTCATTTTGAGAAAATTCTCTAGCCATTGCTATTAAGTATCAAAATATGAAATGTTATTGGGAAACCAAAATGTGTATAAGCATGAAAAATGTTCACATAGAATTAGATTGACAAACTTATTTGTTGCAGATTGTCTTAATACTCAGTTTTGTTCCATTTTGAGTTCTTGACTCATGACTTCCAAATCGGTTGCCTATTACTTTTTGCTGTTAATATTTCTCATATCATAAGATAATGACTGTTGCGGGATATTTCCATTTGCTATCTCTAAAATAAGACTAGAAATATAACTATTGAAATTCTAAGTAAATGTGTTGAAACAGACTTTTTCATTTTATTTCCTCAGTTGTTATTCTAAATAAAAATGTGGAAACAGTAATTTGACTGACTATTCAATATTTTATTTAAATATGTTAAGGCATATTTTTAAAATCTTGCCTTCATTATTTTTATAAATAACTCAAGGCAGCAAACATACTAATGCTCCTTCCTCCTCCTATTTTTCCCACAACAACAACCCTGTGAGGTGCGTTAGGCTGAGAGAGAGTGATTGGCCCTAAGTCACCCAGCTGGCTTTCATGCCTAGAAGTCAGTCTCTGGATTCTAGACCAACACCTTAACCACTACACCAAACTGGCTCAACATACAGACACTGTGATAAACTGATTTATTGTGAGATGTACGTTTACAATCTTTTTTTATTATACTCAGACCAGATATGATATATAACATTCCTCTATCTTGATCTAACTATCCTCTGAACTAAGCCACAACTTTTACTATACTGAATTTTTGCAGCAGTATTACTTGGTGCTTCAGAATATTAATCACTAGTTCTGTAACTAAAGTAAGTAAAAAAAAAAAAGACATTTATACTATAGATTTAGCATGTGAATAAAAATGTTCTTTAAAAAGCAACTGGTACTGTCATGACTTTCAGAAAAATCTGTTTTCAATTGGTTTTCTGTGCTGTTAAGCCACTCTATGATGTGTCATTCTATTTGGATGGCATGGGGCTGATAGTACTGTACTGTATAAAAAGAAAAGTAAACATTCCTGCCTTGAAGAACTAGGGAAACCAGGTCTTAAACGTGCATGTTTGAAAATAAGTCCTACTGAAGGACAAATTACATTAGCATCATGCACACACAATATTACCAGCCTACTTTTAGAAAATAATTAAAGCTGAAATTGTACTTTTTAAAATGTGTCTTGAATACTTTTTTTTTTTTTGCAAAGGCTTGCAAAGAGAGGCGTTTTCATGCAACGGGCTCCTAGCACTATTAATCAGAAGTCATTAAGCCTACATTTTGTTAACCTAATTTGTGGACTTACACAACCGTACCACCTATGCTTGGTTGTTCCAGCATGGTAGACTAACATGGTCAGCTGGTTTGTGACTTGGAATCGCAAAACAGCCATTTTCACTTCGTATTTTATGAACCTAGCCAATTGCAGCTTTTTAAAAGATGTGGAGCAGATCTGTGACCGACTGCACCGTGTATTTAACGGGAAGAGGAGTTGGTCCCTCCACTAGTGCGCTCTAGTTATGCTAACTAGAATTCTTAAAATTCCCAAGCAGCAGGCTGCAAATTAAAGGATTTGTAGTCCGACACATGCGGAGCGCGCTGAGTTGTGAGAGGAATTCTGAAGAGGGGGGAAAAATACGAAGTTTTGACCCATTCCATTTCTCTTTTTTTTAATGCAGTCCTTGGATGCCAATTAGCGACCGCAGCGCTAGTATTTCCAACTGCGGTTCTCCTATGGTTGCTACAAGGCATTCTTAGTTTCATCGGATCTCGCCCCCCGAAAAGCGTCCCGAAATGAAAAACTTCTCCCCACCGAGAAGCGAACCAATTCAGACTTTATTAGGAGTTACCACGCTATTGCAGCGATAGAGTGGCACATACGCATTTCATTCTTTCCCTGACAACGCTAAGTCGGGCGCCCAGGGCGGAACGAGCCTTCGTCACTTCCTGCTCGATTCCGGCCTCGGCCAATTACACGTCAGCTAACTTAATTCCCCCTCCTTTCTTTGGTGACAGGAGAGGCCCGCCTTTTCCGGCCCCGTTGGGAGCCGCTCGTTCTGCAACATGGTGAGTTCCCTTCTGTGGGGGCGGTTGAGGGCCTTGAAGGCTGCGTGGCGAGTCGGTGTCTACGTGCAGCGGAGGTTAAGGTGGCGCACCGTGAGAGGGTGCTAGGAGGGGGACTTTGGTTGGCTTCCCAGTTCTGAAGGAGGTGACTTCCCTGCAGCAGGGAAGGGCGGCTGTCAAGGCTGGCATAGCTTTTCAAAGGGAAGATTCCAAGCCTTTCTCCACAGAAACCTCCAAGTGTGTAGAAGGCAAACCTTGTTAATCTGCTGCAGTGGTAGTCCTTAAAAACAAAAATGTAGCTGGAGTGTAGTCCCTGTAATAGATGCGTGAAGTTTCCCTGAGAGGGGGTGTGGTGCAGTGGCTGGAGGGATGGCTTGGCCCAAAAGCCTGGAAGTGTTCTTTAATTAGGAATTTGATCAAACAGATGGTCATAAGTAGTTTTTAGTTACATGTCAGGAAAAAGGGTCACTTGTTGACCTTTAGCATTTTATTATATGCCATCCTGATACTTCGATGGAAGAGCAGAAGTATAATTTAGTAGTAAAAAAATAATATCTGCAGTCTCTGTTCAAGGAATAAGAGCAAACAATTAGCTTGCTGGGTGGTCTGGGTTCAAATCCTTTTTCAACCATAAAAATCCTAAGGGTATCCATAAGGTGCCAGCTCTCAACCTAAGAAATGTTATGGTGATCATAAAGCCTAACTCTTGAGATTCTTAGCAGATAAATGGGGTAAAAATGCAATGAATGAACTTCTAAAGCTCGATGGCAACATATATGAGTGGATTTACCTTCTTCCTATACTGTAGTGAGTGTTTTGTCATTTTTTTTTAATGTTAGTTAACGTGGAGATAATGTTTATTCTGACTGCATGCAGAAATCAAGTTCATGATTTGGGAATGTTAAGAAATGAATAGAAAATTTAGTAAAAAATTAACTATTACTACTTACTTTGTAGGGAACAATACACTTGTTTCGCAAATCACAGCGGTCTCTTCTGGGCAAGTTAACGCAGGAATTTAGATCAGTAGCTGCTGATCGAAGGGTAAGTTTTCATTTTCTGGCAAGCAAACATTCTAATTCAATAAATGCTTAAATATTTTTAAAACAGACTTAAACATGTTTATAAATAAATGTTTATTATTTAGCTCTTTAAATTTTGGAGGAACTTCAGACAGTCATAAATGCTGAATTTTATTTATTTATATTTATTTATTTATTAAATTTGTATGCTGCCCATCTCCCCCAATGGGTGACTCTGGGTGGCTCACAATTAAAACAAAATTTATTTATTAAATTTGTATGCTGCCCATCTCCCCCAATGGGTGACTCTGGGTGGCTCACAATTAAAACAAAATTTATTTATTAAATTTGTATGCTGCCCATCTCCCCCAATGGGTGACTCTGGGTGGCTCACAATTAAAACAAAATTTATTTATTAAATTTGTATGCTGCCCATCTCCCCCAATGGGTGACTCTGGGTGGCTCACAATTAAAACAAAATCCACAAACAATTAAAAAAATAAACACATTAATTAATTAAAATTGATTAATCAATTAAAAGGTCAAGCAGTAAGCAAACATAAAAACTAAAAACATTCAAGATGACGGGGGGGATTTTGAATAAAATAAATTATTTCTTTATTAAAATACAATGAATAACATTGTGTGTTTTAATTGCTCTGGTTATGTCATTTGCCTTAGTGTTTGCAGTGCAATCCTATGCATGTCTGTTTAGAGGTAAGTTCCATTGACTGCCAGGCAAATATGCATAGAATTGCAGTCCTAAGTGTTATTCCCTTTCAGATTTCTGTCTTAGAAGACTAGTTCACACAGTTTCCCATATATGTTCCCAGTGGTCTCCACAGCAGCCATGAAACAAAATGAAGACATGCCTGTGGGAAGATTGTGATGTGAATTCTGCCTTTACATACTTTTGTTCTGATGTCTCACACAAGTATGGAAGTCACAGTATTTGGGACATGATGAATGTTTCTTGCTGCCTTCTGCAGTTGCCCGTGGTTGTTCCAACCATTATTTGCCACATGTCAATTTGGTATTGTGGATTAGATAGCATCATACCACATAGTTATATACTATAGTATTTTCTTTTCGTAGTTGGTGAAAAAAAGGGCAGGTGTGATTACTGTATAAAAAAGTTGATGGTCATTTTCATTCATTAACTTTATTATGTTAGTGTTTCTATTTCCATTGCAATGGATGTTCATATATAGGGAAATAAATTGTATGAACTTGCTTAATATTTCTTCTTTTGGCTTGTTCCTCAATCACTTTCAACCTATTTCATGTGCCAGTTGCTCTCCCATACTTTCCTTATATTATCTTCCTTTGCTAGATGTTTAACATTTTATTTATTTATTGTAGTGAATTGCATAATAGCTCTGTCACTATGTTATGAGCAGCATCTAGCATACTGTCATTATTAAGCAATATTAATTTGTAGGATAGTGAGATTGAAATATATTTAATAGCTATAAACAAACCTTTGACATGGAAGTGGGTTTTGGCTGATAGAAGCGTGTTGAGATTTTATTCTTATTTCTGGTGTTTTCTAATGTGATTTAATTAAGCTTTCAGTTGTGTTTCATAATATTTTAAAATTATTCTTTTTAGCCCTGCTGAGTGCCATGTGCTGGTGGAGAGGCAGAATGTCAATTTAACAAACAAATGGAGGAAAAGTTCTAGCCAATGTTTTCTTTATTAGTTGTGAACATCTGAGATTTAGCTTTTTTGTTATATCCATTAATTTATCTAAGTCTACATCTCTTTGACTTTCCTTTATTAATGGGATATTTATATATGCAGCTATAAAAAACATTCTTATTAACATTTTGTAGTGAGGGAAGCAAAATGTCTTCTAAACACTTTGGATTACAATTCTCATAATTCCTTGCCATTGGTTATAACTTCCTGGGGATAATGGGAACTGAAATCCAAAGCATCTGGAGGGCATAAGTTTGCCTCTCAATGGTTTAAAGTAATGCAGCACAACAAGGTAAGGGGGAAAGGTGTTGTTCCTTTCCTCCATATGCTTTGCTTAATGTAAAATGGTAAGCCATCTGCATTATCAGAAGCTTTCAGTACAATCTTCTAGGAAGTCTGTGAGAACTCTCATGTTACAGTGAACCTTTTGATTATTTTGGTCAGATTTTTAGCTGATCATAGAAATATTTATAGTGCAGTTGTCTATCTGTATGAGTTTTATTTTTATTGAGTTTGATTAACAAATACTGGTGTTCTGGGCCAAGGAATTCTGTCTAATGCTTAAGAGAGACAAAGAGAAGGGGCTGTTGAAATTACCTGTAGCTCAGTAAATCATAGTTTGTGAAGAATTATGAATACATTGATCCTAGACTATGCTCCCAGAGATTAAAGCCATGGGAAATCTGAGCTGAATGTTCAATATTTTATGTGTATTGTAGATTGTAGAGTTTTTTTCAATAAAATCCTGCTCTATTAAACTTGTTTCAACTGTTGTTATTTACAGTCCTGGAAGATCTTGCTGTTTGGTGCAATAAATGTAGTATGTACTGGTTTCCTGCTTATGTGGTGTAGTTCTACAAACAGCATAGGTATGTTACCCTTCTTTTAGTGAAATGATTGTAGATAATAAATGCATCATATTAATATAAGAAAGTGGTTTAATATTGATACAGAATAGTTTTATTTGTGAGCATCATTGATTGTTAGCATTTTTAATTGTTCCTGAAATCTCTCGTCACTTCTCCTTTGATGATTTCTTTACTCAAAGTGTAAAATGATATTAAGATTAATCAAGATTAATTCTACTAAATGAAACTTTGCTTAGATTTATTGGTGTCCAGAACTCTACTAATTGGATGTGCATGCATCATGATGACATTGTGTTGAAATGTCTAGGAACTGAAACAGCTATTGCAACTACAGGTAGTCCTCAAGTTACGACTGCAATTGGGACTGGAATTTCCATTGCTAAGCGATGCGGTCGTAAAGTGTGATGTCATGTGACCACACAACTTAGTGATGGCAATCCCTGCAGTCCCTGTTGCCGTCATTAAGCAAGGATCGTGAGTCATTAATTGAGCACCTCCTTACAATTTCCTGCCAGTTTGCAACAACCAAAGCCAGTCGGGAAGCCAGCAGGAAGTTGCAAGTTCCAGGTGGCTTGCAAGCAGGCTGGCAGGCACAAAGTGGCTGCTGTAGGATGGGGGAGGGTGTACGAGTGGCCAGGGAGGCATGGCGCAAGTGCAGCAAGGCTCTGGGAGGATGTGCGAGGCTGTGTGGGTGGCTGGCGAGGTGTGGTGTGGTGTGGTGTGAGCTCAGATGGTCTGGGGGAGGGTGCTCAAGTGGGGGTGACTTGCCCAAGCAACTTGCAATCTTCCCTGCCGGCTTCCCCATTGACTTTGCTTGTGGGAAGCCAGCAGAGAAGGTCGTAAATTGTGATCACATGGCTGCAGGACACTGCAGCCATCATAAGTGCAAGCCAGTTGCCAAGCACCCAGATCACAATCATGTGACTGTGGGGGTGCTGGGATGGCTGGAATTTCGATGAACAGTAATAACCAGCACTCATTTAGCATCTTCATAACTTTGAACGATTACTGAACGAGTGGTCATTAACCGAGGGCTACCTGTATATTAGGATGCCTTTGTCATTCCTAGATTATACAGCATAGATTGTCTTTAGTGCTCCTTGTTATTCCTTTTTGTCCAGAGACTCAGGATATATAGAAAGAAGTGCAGATTTAAAACTTTTATTTTCACTTTCTGAATGAAAAGCTCCACATAATGACTCCATTACATACCCAGGTATACCCATCCAACTCAAAGTCTAGCTGGTCAGAAGAATCCAGGGAGGATGCTCACTATGTGTAGTAGCTTGTACTGTATGAAGGGCTCCAAAGGACTACCATTCCCATGCATCTTTATAGCTTTCAATGAAACTTGATTAAAGTTTGACCAGTCCCATCTTGGTATTTTCTTCACACCTTCTAATACTTTTCCACATATCATTGCTTCATCCAGTTCAGTCAGAACCACATGTTGTTCTGAGAACTCTTCTGTTATTGTGCCTTCAATTTTTCATTCTGGTGCTTTTTTACACACTGCATAAACTGAAATCTTCCTGAGCAAACCTTTCTGCCTTTTTGGCCTGTTCTGAAAGGAACTAGCATATCTCATGTAAGTCCATTCATAAACATATATGGCCTAATGCTATATATTAATCACTATACAATGACATTATACACTGGTTATCATTAGTGATAATACACTGGCATGAATATACTGATGCATGGTTCACTAATTAATATGGCTATACATTATTAACATATTCTAACACATTCCCCATCTTGATACCTTTAGATTGAATGATAGCGTGTGTAGATTAATAAAAGGGTGTAGTGTTACATGCCATCTGTAGAGCATGCAGTTTAAGATATAAATGCCTTGGTTTAACATGCATGTATATACAGGTAGTCCTTGACTTACGACCAGAATTGGGATCAGAATTTCTGTCGCTAAGTGATGTGGTCATAAAACAAGACATCACATGATTGCATTTCTTAGCGACCACAATCCCAGCACTCCCTGTTGCCATTGTTAACTGAGAATCATGGGTTGTGTAGCAAGTACCCACCCCAATCACAGCCCCGAGCCTCAGTAAGGTAAGGGACTGCCTCCAACTCCCCCCACCCTCCTATCTCCCCCCCATCTCTGCCCTTTTGGCCTCCCTGCACCCTGCCTTGTGGAGCAGCAAGCAGCCCCAGAACTGCATGGCTCTGGGGCTGCTTGCCATGCCCCAGGAAGCTGCAGCTACCCCACCCCAGTCCCAGCCACAGTTGCCCTCACCTCACTCTAAGACCCCTGCTGCCCTGTGCTCCACTGCCCCAGCTGACCTTTACCATCTTGCTCCTGTTGCTGATGAGGCATGCCTGGTCTGGCTGCTGGGCTGGGTTGGGGCTGGGCTTCACACTGCAGGGGGAAAAAAAGCCAAAAGTAACCCCTTTGCAAAGAGCTCCTGGGTAGGGCTGGGCTTTGGATTCCGAAAAAAAAAAAAGCCAAAAGCAGCCCGTGAGCTGCGGCATGCCAAAAAGCCCCTTTGTCTTTGCTGCTTTTGGCTTTTTGGGCCAAAGCCCAGCCCCAGCCCAGCCCAACAACCAGACTGGCCATGCCTTGTCAGCAGCAGAAGCAAGATGGCAAAAGCCAGCTGGGGCAGCGGAGCACAGGGTGGCGGGGGGGGCAAAAGGACATAGATGGGGGGAGATAGGCAAGTGGGGGGAGTTGAAGCGCCCCTGTGGTCATAAGTGCAAGCAGGCTGCCAAGTGCCCAAATTTTGATCATGTGACCATGGGGGTGCTGCAACAGCCATAACTTTGGGCACAGGTTGTAAGTCCCTTTGTTCAATGCTGTTGTAACTTCGAACGGTCGCTGAACAAATGGTCATAAGTCAAGGACTACCTGTATTATTGCAATAAACAAAACTATGAGTCCAATACATAGCTATAAGACAAGATGAATAGCAATATTTTAAAATCTTGTGACAGAGTGTCAGCACCCTAGGTGGACTAGGCAGGAAATCAAGCGCACAGGAAGACTAAAACGACTTTTCTTGAGAATACACACACACACACACACACACACACACACTATATAGGTATAATAAAGGAATCTTGCAAATCTGATTGTGCTGTGAAATGAAAATTTATATCAACAAAGATCCCAGAAAGTAGGATGTGTAAATGCTTCTGGACCTGGTCAAGACCTTGTGTGCTTTATTTATTTAATTGCAGTTTTTATT